TTGACGCCTTAATCCACTGTGTCTCTAGTCCTCGGTGGGGCTCTGGAGGATAGTGGGAAGGATCAATGCAGCCGAACCCCTTCCTTATCCAGCAGCCACTGTGAGGGAACAATGGGCAGCACCTCCGGTGCTATTTCCTCCCCCTGGACACGTGCAGAGTTCAGCTATGAGTCAGTCTCAACCCAAGGGTACTTCACAACAACAGCAAGGTGGGGCTCCCACACTGAGATGGATGAGGACACACATGGGCCACCTGCTTAGGAAACAATAGCCTCACCATGTCCTATGAGCAAATCCGGAACATTAATCAGCGGGGGGCTGGGGTTGAGCCCCTCAGGTAGAACTAGGGAACAGCTGCTTCCTCCAAGTAAGAAAAAGGACCTAATGCCACCAAGTCCAAGCAGCCCAGAGTGGAGCCTCCAGGGACTTTTCAGCAGAGGTAAGTTGCGTGCAAAGAGACTGTCATCCTTCTCCCTCGGAGCAGAGGCTAGATTCAAACCTGCTGCCTTTGGATTGGCAGTACAACTCCCGACCGACTAGGCCTAGGGGCTCCTCAAAGCAGAATGTACAGCTATCACGCTCATGAATGAAAAGAGATTTGTGGGTGGTGGGGAGAGGTCAAGGGGAGGTCTGATTGGCTTAGTGGTTAGACGCTATGCTACAACCCTAAAGTCCTGAGGTTCAAATCCATGGACTTGTCCGTATTCTCTCCCCACATCACAGCCCAAGATTCTCTGCTTTAACAGTCATGATTTAGTCATTACCTTGGTGAGCTGTGATCTGGTGTAACCGTCTCCCTGCGGGATGTCACGCAGGGGCTCAGCACCATGAGGAAGTGTGCAACAAAGGAGGGACAGTTTACCGCCTCTGAAAACCACTAGATTGTGAGCTCTGGGTCGGTTCCAATTCGACAGCCAACAAGAAGAGCAACTGGGAGATCTCAGGTCATCACTGCGCCCTCCCGGGGCTGCGGCCCTCCTTACCCTTTAGCACCCCCGACATAAGGCTCAAGGCCTGCTCATAACCCTTCCCAACTTACTTTGGAGAAGTCTGTCAGTTTCCAAACCTTTCAATATGGC